CTGTGCGTCTAATAGTTTAAAAATCGGAATTTATGTATCCCCTTAATTCCCCGCAACACCCCTTGAGGGTCAATTTTTCCAAAACCCATTTTGTAGCGGATACTTACTTAATGAAAGAAAAATGCCGACCAATTTTCAAGCAGGTAGGTCAAATAGTTTAAAAACGGAAATATTTATCTATTACGCCCTTTAATCCCCCGCAACGCCTCTTAGGGCTATTTTCCTAAAATCCATCTTGTAGCTGATATCTACTCTATGAAAGGAATATATTTATCAAATTTAAGGTATGTGCGTCTAATAGTTTAAAAATGAAAATAACTATCTATAACACCGACAACGCCATTTGGGGGTCGATTTTCACCAAACTTATTTTGTAGCGGATCTCTACTCATTGAAAGGAGTCTGCTTACCCAATTTCAAGATTGTACGTCGAGTAGTTTAAAAATGGAAACAATTATTCTTAACGCTCCTTGTAACGTGCCTTGCATTTCGAATTTCGCAAAAAATCCGTTCTAAGTGGATCTCTACTCTTTGAAAGGAACATTTCTACTAAACTTCAAGTCTGTAGGTTGAATAGTTCCGGAGATATCGGGATTAGTCAGTCCGTGAGTTGCTTTTCTCCTTTATATATATAGTTTTAGAATATTTGTTCGGGAACACACCTACAACCCCAACTCTGATTTTTAAAAAAAAAATTCACAAACCCCTTCCCGGGAATATACCTGATAATTTCGTAAATTTTCACTGCGATTGGAAGCATGGTTTTTGAATCAATCGATACAGACAGACAGACAATTTTATATATTTAGATTCGTAATTAATTTAGGATATGTTTTGAAATTTTTAAATTAATTCCAAATGGATTTTTTTTTATTACACCCACGACCTAATTTTTGGAATTATTATTATTATTATTTTTTCGTAAACGTAACCTCTTCCAGAGCTTTTTGCAAGTCAAATTAAAAGTACATGGTTATATATATAAATATATATATATATATATATATATATTAAAAGATGGAGCTTCTTCTATCCCGTACGTTGGCATCAATGCAAAGATCGTTAAAACATGTGTCTGCAATATTTTTCATGAAGAAAATACTCCTGTTCAAATAAGTCGTCCTTACACTTATATCCTTCGCAGAAATCCTGTTACAGGAACGTTTTAAAGCATGAACCAACTAGGCCTGGACCCAGAGCTTCGGTCTCGGTATAGGTTCTCGTCTCGCTCTGGACTTACCTCAATAAGATCCGAGTAATTTTAACTATCTAATGTTTTTTCCCCCGAATTACTCTCCGAAAAACTGGGAATTTCGAAATTATGCCAACAAGTAACAGTGGCAAAGATTGCATTATTGAGTCATGGATGTCGTCTGTAGTTATGCCTAGGTGCACCACCTCCATCATTACTCATTTGATTATTTAGTCTGAAGGTGGCAGTCGATCGAGTCGGTTTGTGCCTAGGCTTGCGAGATTGTGAGTTACGCCCATTTATTTGTTACTTGTTGCCGTTTGTATGAGTATGAGTATTTAAAATGCATTGTGTTTACTGTCTACTGACAAGGGTTGTATATATATAGTTGGGCCTACATTTTTATAGGAGCCCAAGGTCTCAATAATTTTTAAGACGTCAACTCCTCATGAGCTGCAAAATATTTACCACATGGATTCTACCACTGTCGGAAATTGTAATTAGCTGCTTCTTTTGAGATGAGGCAAAGTGGATTCATCGCATTTTGTGTGCTTTCTCTGAACTAAATTTTGATACGTTTTTGTGTTTCTTTATTTTTCCTAGTATATTCTAGGCATTGGGTACATTATTTGACTATGCATATAATTTTATATGGTGATTCTGGGTTTTTTTCCCTGTTAGTTTCTTGAAAAACTAAGAGATTTCTTTTTCACGCTCAGGAACTGGTAGTTTGTATGCAAGTAGCAAAAATTGACGCATGCACATTAGAGACATGGTCGAAAAATTACAGTCGGGCATTCCTTTTAACACACGCTTTGTATACTAATAAAACAAAATTAAATGTTCTGGAAATTAATTACAGTAATAAAATATAAAGGGGTAGTAAATGAATGCTTTCATAATTCACATTATAAAATAATAAATGAATAATAGTTGATAATATAAAAACAATTATGCAATAGCAATATTATTCAATGTGTTGAAATATTTCACGTTATATTTTTATTTACATATGAAGGAAGATTTTCCCTTATTTCTTTTAATAAAGACTCACGTTTGGGAGCAATGAACTTTTAGTTAAAAGTTTTTCTTGGCTCGTTGATAATATTAATTATATTTCTAAAAGAATATTATATAAACATATATTCCTTTTTCCTTAAGGATTCAATTTTTCCAAATTATCTATATAATGCGATATTTAAGAACTGTGTTGGTAAATTCATGTAATAAAAATTGAGCAAGATAAATTTGAGGCTGCTGTGAATAAATAATAAAAAGTTTCAAAAGAAAAAAATAACATGAAGGGTTTCATTAAGCGCATAAATGCTATATTTTAAACGAAATACCATTATTTTTCTGTTAAAATCAAAACATTATTTCAACTTTTTCTAAAAAAAAAAAACGTTTTGTGTAAGCTTTTCTGTTTACAAAATACTAAGAATTATGAATCAATAATGTCTAGATAAAACTAGTTAATTTATTATTTGACTAGAAATAATTGTTTTCTTCGCACGACTTTTGCACAAATGTTATCACTTAAAAATAATTTAAACTTTGCAGATTGCTTTTTACAAAATCTCCCAATCTAGTATCTAGTTTACTCTCTCCTAATAACTCTAAGGACTTTTTCAGAAAATTAATTTTTATAAACATGTGATGAAACAAATTTCCATTAATGATTTTGGTTTAAATAAAAAGACATATCTGGATGCAAAACCATTCAGTCTTTTGCTTTTAATAATTCCTAGTTGTTGTTTTTATTTTTACAATTCGGGAAATGTATTTCAAAAGAAGAGAAAAATTCCTAGAAAATTAATTTAATCTTTTTAGTCTGAAGGATTAAAATTGTTACATTTAATAATAAAAAGCCATTAACAATACAATTCTAAGGAAACTATTTTTCTTAAAAGTCAAATGCAATTTTAAAGGCTTTTCAAGAATCGATGCATTAATTAGTAGCACTACCAAATATTTTACATTTTTCTGAGAATATTTTCTAAAACACAGGTCGTAAAATAGAATTCTGAGTCAATGAAAAGTGCTAATTTCCTAAATTAATATACAAAATTTTGGCAACCAGTAACAATGAAATTTTGTTTCAAAGCACTGATATTTTATTTTTCAAAAAAAAGTCAATTGTTGCAATTTTTTTTTTCACTAAACATGTAAAAATGTTCATAAAGCATTTTAAATAATTACTAGATAAATTCACAAAAAGGTGGAAAACATTCAAACAAAGGAAACAAATCAAGTTTAAAGAAGGCAATTATTTTTTTTTTAAAAAAACATGTTTACGTATGTAATAGCAACTTCCATTGTCGAGAATTCTTTGTAACTAAAATTCATCGTTTGATATGACAATCTTACTTTCTAAAAATGACAAAAAACTATAGTGAATGAAGAAAGCGCCGTATTCCGGAGTGCAAATGAGGTATTGAAGGTAGAGTAATTCGAACCTGAATTATTACTGAGGTCAAAAGAACCTCTCAAAAAGAAATTCAGAAAAATAAGTAATTTTAAAAATGAAAAAAAAAATACTCTTACTTAGGTCCACCAAGAAATTTTTTATTTTAGTTAATGTTATTAAATACTACAATAAAAAAATATAACATAAATATGCATATACACATGACAGAATCACAATATTAACCCGGCTTTTCTCGCGCAGAGTGTGTCATACCAAGACCATCTTGAAAGATCAAGACAGCCTTGGTCATACCCACCGTCAAACTTTTTTCAACGTTCCTTCTAAACCTTTTTTGGAAAATGGATAGTTTCTCGTGTAACTGACTTTAAGGTCATATCCTTTGAGGAGGTCTTAGCTTGTAGGGGAATTTTAAATATATAATTTTCGATATCGCCTCTTCGGGTATGTCATACCAAGCGTGGGAATAAGATTTACATTTCTGAATGCATGATTACTTTTTAAATCTTCCTTTTGCTATGGCGCATCATTGAAGTTATGATGAAGAAATGTGATATTTAAGTAATTTAATACATACAGTATTCAATAGATATAGTAGAACAGTATTTTCGGATGAAGAAATTCTCTTAAGGGTTATGATGAGGAAAAATTAAATGATGAAGAGCATAACAGCAAGTATGATTCCTACACCAAAATCGACCCAGATTTTGAAAAGGGAGACATTGTTGAAAATGAATGTTTTTTATGTAGAGACACAAAAACATTTGAGCATAATTTTAAAGTTACGCAATTTTAAAGGAGACAACTGGTACTCATTTTATCCACGTTCAGATGAACTTTTGGAAAAAAAAACTATAAATAAGAGAAAATAAAATAGAAATTCCAAAATTTTCAAAATTAAAGAATAGAGAAGTTTACTCTTGTGTGTTTAATTTGAAAAAAAAATATAGATTTAAAAAAAATTAAGATCCAATGAACGCATCGCACTTACACACGACGAGATTAGAGTGTATAAACAATGCCCTGAATGACCTTATAAAAAGAACAGAAAAACTAAATTTACGTGTGAAAAATGTAATAAACATGTTGTATTTCCTACTTTTCTTCCTTTTCAGCTTATTTATACAAACTATACGGTAAAAACACAATCTAAACACCCTTGGGTATGACATACCCTGCGCGAAAACTTTAGGTCATTTTTTTCACTCTAGTGATGCCAGATTAAGTGACAAAATAGAAAGAGATTTTCCTGGCAATTCTCCATTTTCCTTTCTGTAAATGATGTTGGACTATTTTTTGCTACCGTTTTTATTCATTAATAAAATTTAATTTTTCTAATAAAATAGTATTGTAAAAAAGAAATCACATTCTCAGAAACTAGGCCTTTCCAGGTGGAATTCAAACCCACGATCTTTGGATTAGAAGTCCAATGAGCTATCCATTGCACTCAGGAACACAATGAACAATCTTCCTTTCTATATATATATATAGTTGGACTATTATTTTAGTTTGTTATTATTTATTTATTTTTAATTTATAGATGAATTAGTATTTTAAAAAACTGTATTAATGTCAAGTGCCATCCACTACAAGTTTAAAACAAGATATCAATCATTGGCATGGCCAAGTAATTTTGGCACGTTTTTCACATGTTGTACTTTACAATAATGCAACTAATGAACTTTTTACTAACAGAAAGTAGTACTATACTTAAAATTTTTTTTAATTTAAAAATTATTAAATTTAAATATGATTCGGGTCATGTAGGGCACAAATGCGACCCAATGCCAAAAACCCGAGGTCAATCGGTTGCTTATTGGCTGAGAAAAAGGTACGACAAAATATGGAACGAAGACGAAATCTGCGTCCTAATAGCGCTTTTTTTACACTACGTGAAAAACGCGCTAAAAATGTATTTGAACTTGAATGGATGAATATATATATAGAGAGAGAGAGAGAATTAATAGCAAAAGGAATTAAAAAATAGAATCTTAGCCTCATCTTTATAGCAGACTAAAATATAAAGACTGCAAGTAGAGTAAATTTGTATTGGTGTATGTATTTGATAAATTAAACTTTTTTCATTTGTTTCATACACATATCTAATTTATTTTAATATTTATTTAAGCAGAGCTTTAATAATCGAGATATAGTAAAAAAGAACAATGGCTCTTATTCATAATGAAACTAGCTGCCCACCGTGAAAAGGGGACAGATGCACGTTAACCTGTCGAGCTCAAAGTCCTACCGTTGGAGTGGTTTAGTAGGTTAGAGAGGGGGTAGCCGACTCAATTTCCGTCCTCATCACTTGACCGAGGTCCAATATTACGAGGACCGTCCCCAATAGCCTTCATGATACTTTATAGTATGATATGAATATAACTGTTACTTTTACTCGCTCAAAATGAAGTTATCGTATTACACACCTGCTTCACTACCAACGGAAAATGTGAAAAATATAATTATATTTTTTCATTGTTTCAATTCCTACTATTTCTTACTACCTTTATATATATTTATTTACACATCTTGTTCAAATTTTCAATCGTTTATCAAATACTTTCTATTCATCCATTCAAGTTCAGATAATTTTTTTAAACTTGTAGTGGATGACACTTGAAGCTGACACAGTTTTTTTTAAATACGAATTCATTAACTAAATTAAAAAATTAATAAATAATAACAAACTAAAATAATAGTCCAACCATATATATAGAAAGAAAAATTGTTCGCTGTGTTTCTGAATGCAATGGATAGCGCGTTGGACTTCTAATCCAAAGGTCGTATGTTCGAACCCCACCTGAAATAGTCCAATTTCTGAGTATTTGATTTCCTTTTTAAGATACTATTTTATTAGAATAATTTAATTCATTGAATGGATAAATAGTAACATACAAAGAATAACATAGTCCAACACCATATATAAAAAGGAAAATGGAAAAATGCAAGGAAAATCGCTTTCCATTTTGTCCCTTAATATTGTGATTCTGTCATATGCTGTAGCACACACAAGAATTTTTCAAGAGGGGTGGGGTCCATGGTTGAAAGTCCATTGTTCTCGTATCATGCTCCAATAAGCCGCCCGACATATTCCTTTGATTTTGTCGATTTTCGGTATCAAAAAACAGTAAAAATTCATTATTGAATCAATAACAGGCATTACTTAATAAAATTAATTATTAATAACAAATACTTAATTAAATTTTACGTACTCTATCAATGGGGAAAAAAATCATGGAATTTGGAGGACGGAGATCCGGACCCGAGGACCCCCTTACATGCGCCTCTGGTCATATGTATATACATATTTATATGATTTGTAATTATTTAATAAAAAGTAACTAAAATAAAATGTTTCTTTGTTGACCTTAGTAGAAATTGACTTAAGAAAATTTTCTTATGTTATTTGTTTTAGTATGAAGGTTACCGTGAAACCGTTATTGAAAAGGCATTTTAAACACCAACTTTGCATTTTACTTTTTTTTTCTTACCTGATACATACTATCAACTTTACACACACATAATCAAAGTCTTAGTTTTTCTAAAATATATATAAACAAAACTGAATTATTAGCAATTTTTTAAAAAATAAAATTAACTTATGTATTGTATCATATTTTAAATGCACACACATGGTACGATTTATAAGAAATTATTTTAATATGTTTCACAATTTTAAGTGTTTTTTTTCTTTTTTTTTTGTAACCTATGCATATGTATTACTTAAAAACGTTTTTGTGCTCAAAATACTACAAAAAGCTATCCATTAAATTCTTTAAAGAAAACATTTCAGAAATTATGAAGGGATTTTAAAATACTACTCATCCTACAATAATTGGCGTAAGAAATTGAAATTTAATTTACAAGTTCATCAAACTATCTGTAACAGAATTCGGTATATGTTTTCTCCTAATGTCATCATCTTTCGCAAAATATTTTTCAAAATTTATTAAAAAATGCATAAATTCTGAATTCAATTATTTTTTTTAAAAAAAAATATGTATTGCTTTGTGTGATTCAAAAATTCAATCTAATGTTTCTTACCTTCATAAATTGCAATAGGTAAACTTATATATATATATATCAAAGCATTTGGCATGATATAAAAAAAGCCTTAGCATTTTAGATGAAGATAAACTAGTTGTTTTTTTCTATCTTATGTATAAGTCGTTTAAATTTTGTTTTTTCCCTTATGGAATGTGGATAAAAATGAACTTAAAATTTATCATAACTCTGAATTTTTTAACTCTGAGATTTCAAATTTTGGGAAACTACTGTAAATTATGTAAAATATTTAGGCTAAAAAAATTTTTATTTTAATTTTCAACCAATTTTTGTTAATTAAATTGTACAAACAAATTCTGGACCTAATTATTGTTTGCCAATATGTTAGTTTAATAATGTTTATTGAAATCCTTATATAAAGTCATTTAATATTATTAAGTAATAAAAATTCGATTTAAAGGAATCGCATAGTTTTGAAAATTTAACACACAAATTATTTTTTCTCTCTGTGACTTAAAATACCATTATGAAAAACGCGACTATTAAAAACGTGTACAGCACATTCAACCTTTGTATTTTATGACGTAATAAGATGAGTTATTTCTCGCCATGGATGACGCAGCTTGCCTTTTGGAATCTATTATCCTTTCTCCAATCTTAATAACGCAACGCTGCACACAACCTTATTAGAATATACTTTGTTTGAGATGCGGGCTCGGACCCATTTAAATATTACCCCTCACACTACTTTATCCCTATATTAGGGTACATTTTTTCTCATTCATTTTAGGGAGCGTGACAGTTAAATCAGGAGCACGTGACGAAAGTTGAACGGGAGGGGAAATAATATCAAAAGAAAAGGGGGTGACACGGTAGCGTCATTTTAAAGGAAATGGGAGACCATGGGGAGGGAGGTGTCCATTGACATCCGGAGTGTGACTGCCTTTCCCCCACGCCGTGTGTGAACATTCAATGTGCGTTTTAGTCACGTTGGTAGTGAATGAATTCGTTGAAATCTATTCTATCGGCTTGGGAGATGGTGATATTTGCTAAAGTGGTAGTGAATAAATGGAAGGGTCATTCAAGAGTGGAAGCGTTTCAATGCATTGTTGATTCGTTGTAATGCAACATCAACGCGAATCTAATATTGTAAAAAACATCGGGAAAAATATATCGGAGATTTAAAAATAAGGGGGAAATTTACCAATTTCTGTAGAAAAATTGCTTTAGTAGCAAACTATATAATTTTATGAAGGCAGACCAAATATTATGACCTTTAGTTTTAATCCCATAATTTACGAGCTTTGATAAATTAAATAAGCCCATTTTACAACATTTAATATTCTGTAAAATAATTATAAAAAAATTCTTGGTATACGAAATTTAAACGAAACTCTCTCAGGGAAGCAATAGCTACGTGTTTATATCATATAAAGTGGAGTGAATGAAAATTTTATTTTCAGAATTTCCAAACCTACCACGCAGAAAAGATGTTCTATGGTACGTAGACAAAGGAAGACAATAAAATAAAATAAATATATTTTTACATTAAATACTGACACAACAGGAATGAAGTTCAGATATATCAGCTTTTTACGTAAAAAGTCAAAGTAATTTTTAAAAAAATCAAAGAAGCATTTGTGTACTTTTTAACATTTTTTTGATAAAAGTACACATTAAATAGTTTTAAGAAGAAAAAATAATATATGTAAGCTACATTTAACAGTTTCTTCAGAATTTTTTTAAAATAAGAACATAGTGTTGAAACTGCAGCGCGCACGATGAAACAGGAAGATGGAGGGAAAAAGCTGGGATTGGACTGATTCGACGTGAGTGCGATGGGTTATGAACTTTTTAACTGTCACTACTTTCTTCTCACTAATAATCCTTTTTGGTTACTCTTGTTTTTGGAAAATATTTTTTTAGAATCTAAATTCCTTGACCCAAAATTAAATCCTTTCCCATTTCTTTTCGAAAATTCAACCGTTTTGTAGCTATTTTCAAAAAAGTTTGAAAATATGTAAAAAAAAAAAAGAATCAATTTTTTTTCTTTATTTCCATACCATAGAACACAGAGGTGACTAGTCTTTTGGGGAAACGTGCCACTATCTGATACAAAAAAAAAAAATTATGCGTGTCACTTTCAACTTTCCAACAAATAACAGAAATAGGGTAAAAAAGTGGGGAAAAAATGTTACTTATAAGCTCTTAATGGGATTTTGGGTAGCGTTTTGGAGCAGGATATAAGAATGGCGAACTTTTGACCCTAGACCCCACCCCCTTGAAAAATTCCTGCGCACGCCACTGCCCACAAACATACATGTTGATCCAAGTTTTGACGGAGGTTTTTGTTTGAGACAACTGCATTTATACAAATCATATATATTGCAAACCAAATTCTTATTTATTATTATATTTTCAACTTTTGAAATTTTTCAGTAATTA